TACTTGAAACTCAAATATACATCTTAGAATAGAATTTAATTATTTTAGAGCATGTTAGAGAAAATATGGATTAAGGTTCATGGGGAAGAATTAAAACAAATGCAATTGTATGTGGAATTAACTTAATTAATAATTTATGGTCCCAAGTGTTATGGATGGTCGGCCTAAAGTGGTAATACAAGATATGATTTGATGTTGGTTTAATAATTTATTCCATAGAAGTATTAATTGAGATTTTTTGGAAAAATAGCCCTAAAGAATATTATAAAAATTTGATAAATCATTGATAAAAACTAGTATGCAGAAACCCTATTGGGAGTTTGATTCGCAGGTCGCTGAAGAAACCCTAATGTTTCAATTGCCTAACAACACACTGAAGGAGGAAGAGCAAACCAACACAACACCATCTGTTTATTTTTTTTATTTTAAAAGTATTTTTAATCAAATTAATTTTTTTTATTTTTTATTTTAAATTAATATATTTTTTATATTTTAAAATTATTTTAATATTAAAAATAATTTTTAAAAATTAAAAAAATATGATTTTAATATTAAATTAAAAATATTTTAACACGGTAGTTTTTAGCTTTTAAGAAATGAGAAAATATTGTTTCCAGTACACTGGATCAAGGTTGTCATTCCATTTCAGTTTGCGCTATGTGTTTTCAATTGGAACGGATTTTGGAGAGTACTGGCATGCAGTTTTTGACGTGCTGTTTATATACATAACAAAATTTTAATTTAACATTAAATTAACTTCAAATTATATAATTTAAATTTTAAATAAAAAAATAAAAATTAAACTAATATGATCCAATCAACTCAAAGAATCCAAAAACAATCTGAATAATTAGTAAAAATATAATTTGACTAAAACAAATTTAAAATAAGATCCAATCAACTCAAAAAATCCAAAAAAAATTGAATAATTAGTAAAAATATAATTTGACTAAAAAAAATTTAAAATAAAATATTTCTTTTAAAAAATATTTTATTTTTAATAAAAAATATTTTATTTTGAATTTTTTTTATTCAAACTATATTTTTACTAATTATAGTATATTGATAGACTCAGGTCAACCTAGGTTAAACTTTTAAATTTATGTTCTGAGTCATGAGACCATAATAACCTCAAATAAAACAAATCAAAATAAATTATGAAACTCAACTTTCAATAAATTTAAATGATAAAATTAAAAAAAAAATCAATTTAAAAAAATGACAAAAAATGATATTTTTGAAATAAAATTACAAATTTAAATAAAATTATAAAAATATCTTCAGTAGTTTCACAAGACTTTTCTAAACTCTAATTGTTTTAAAATTTTAACTTGAGATATAACAATATGTTAAGAGATTCCTCGTAAAATTTTAACTTAATCACAAGTTGGATTAGAAGATACGATTGATACCGTAAAACTAGATAATATATATTTAAAAAAAAAATATTTGGCTAGAATGGAACAGTCAAAACAAAACCAAAATATTCCACTTGGAATTTAGGCAAAATTTATAGAACGAGATGAGATTCTGAGCGACATAAAATCTATTCAAGTTTGTTTAATTTTTTAAACTAGAACAAGATATATCAAGTATTCCAGATGGAATGAAATAAATTTAATAACTCTATTATAAAATAAAATCCATGAGCACAACAAATTTACCATGCCTATGAGTTATTTTTTTTAGGCCCCTTTTCTTTCTTTCTTTTAATCTTGCCTCGTGAGGGTTTGATTGGAGGCTAATTTAAATAAAATTATTAATAAATAACAAAATTAAAAGATAGAAGACTAAAATAAAACACCAAAGGAAGATGAGTTGTGTTTTAGAAACTTCAAAATGATAACCTTAGTGCTTGGTATTTACTAATTACAAAAACTGGGTCCTTAAATCTTTAAAATTTTATAAAATAAGAATTTTGATCCGAAACTTTTTTTTTTTCTGGGTTTAAGAGTATAAAATAAGAATTTTGATCCGAAACTTTATTTTTTTTTTCTGGGTTTAAAATAAATTTATCGTATTGTAACAGTAAATAGAGAAAAATGATGTTGATGATGATTATAATTATCAAAACAGTAGATTTTTGTATCAAATAATTCTATATAATAAGTGAAGTTCCACTTATGTATTGTTTTTACATTGAAAATGCTTAAAAAAAATAATTTAAAATCAGGAAAGTTTTTGATTTTTCAGTTGATTTTCGGGTTTTTGGGGGTTTTAAGGCTATATATTGATTAACAAGGTTTTTATAGTGTTTTTTAAGTGTTTTCGCTAAAAAATAGGTTGAAAATAAGTTTTTGAGTGAAACATATCTTCAAGTTCGATTTTGTTATTATGGATGAAATTTATAGATAGTTAGACAGGTGTCATTTAACCTTTTTTTTCCCTTAAAAAATTTAAGATAAATAACATATTATCTGTTTTATTCATCAAAACAAAAGAGCCCATATCGCAAGCCAGCCCTGACAGGTACTAACTTCGTCTTTTTTTATGTATTTATATTTTTTATTTGTTTCTTTTTAAGTCTTTTTTCAAAATCAAATTTTAATTTAGATTTAAATTAACAAACTTTCTCTCTTTTAATTTGTTATTTAGACTTTTCTAAATAATAATTATTTTTTAATTATCTTGTATACATTTAGTTTTTTGAATAGATTATTCAAGTTCACCTATATTTTTTTTCTTTTTATATTTTATATGAATAGATAATATTTATTTTTTTTAATAATATTTCTAATATATATAACCTTACATAATATTTTTTATTTTATTCAATTAATTTTATACATGTTTATTTATATTATCATTTGATTAATTAAAAATTCAATTTTGATAAACAATATCATTAAATATAGTTGATTAAAAATTCAATTTTTTCATTTTCCTCTTTATTTATTTGATTATATATATATATATATATATCAAAATTTTAATTTAAAAATAAATTAACTTCAAATTATATAATTTAAATTTCAAATAAAAAAATAAAAATTAAACTGATATTATCTGATCAATTTAAAGAATCCAAAAACAACCTGAATAATTAGTAAAAATATAGTTTGACTAAAAAATATTCAAAATAAAATATTTTCTTAAAAACAAATTAAGACAACAATGTACTAATAGACTTAGGTCAACCTGGGTTAAACTTTTAAATTAATGTTCTGGGTCATGAGACCATAATAACCTCAAATATAATAAATCAAAATAAATTATGAAACTTATTTTTTAATAAATTTAAATGATAAAATTAAAAAGAAAATTCAATTTAAAAAAATAACAAAAAATGATATTTTTGAAATAAAATTACAAATTTGAACAAAATTATAAAAATATCTTCAGCAGTCTCACAATGCTTTTTTAAATTCTAATTGTTTGAAAATTTTAACTTGATAACAATATGTTAGGAGACTCCTCGTAAAATTTTAACTTGATCATAAGTTGGATTAAAAGATACAATTGATACCGTAAAACTAGATAATATATTTTTTTTTTAAAAAAATATTTGGCTAAAATGAAATAATTGAAACAAAACTAGAACATTCCACTTGGAATTCAAGCAAAATTTATAGAATGAGCTGAGATTATAAGCGACATAAAATCTATTCAAGTTCGTTTAATTTTATCAAGTATTCCAAATGGAATGAAATAAAATTAATAACTAAATTTACTATGCCCATGAGTTCCTTTTTTCTTTGTTTAGGCCCCTTGTCTTTCTTTTCTTTTAATCTTGCCTTGTGAGGGTTTGATTGGAGGCTAATTTGACTAAAATTGTTAACAAATAGCAAAATTGAAAGATAAAGGACTAAAATAAAATACAAAGATGAGTTATGTCTTAGAAACTTCAAAATGATAACCTTAGTCCTCATTATTTACTAATTACAAGAACTGGTCCCTTAAATCTTTGAAATTTCATAAAATAAAAATTTTGATCCGAAATTTCATTTTTTTCCTAGTTTAAGAGAAATTCATCAGATTGTAAAGTAAATAGAGAAAAATGATGTTGATGATGATTATGACTATCAAAACAGTAGATTTTTGTGTCAAATGATTCTATATAATAAGTGAAGTTCTACTTATGTATTGTTTTATATTGAAAGTGTTTAAAAAAACAAATTTGAAATTAGGAAAGTTTTTGGTTTTTCAGTTGATTTTCGGGTTTTTAGAAGTTTTGAGGTCATATATTGATTAACAAGGTTTCTATAGTATTTTTTAAGTGTTTTCGCTAAAAATAGGTTGAAAATAAGTTTTTGAATGAAAAACCACTTAAAGTTGGATTTTCTTAGGATGAAATTTATGAATAGTTAAACATGTGTCATTTAACCTTTTTTTTCCTTAAAAATTTAAGATGAATAATATATTATCTACTTTATATATATATAAAAAACTCATATCATAAGTCAGCCCTAGCAGGTGCTAACCTGACCTTTTTCTTTTTATTTATTTCTTTTTAAGTCTTGCTAACCTGACCTTTTTCTTTTTATTTATATTTTTTATTTATTTCTTTTTAAGTCTTTTTTCAAAATAAAATTTTAATTTAGATTTAAATTAACAACCTTTCTCTTTTAATTTTTTATTTAGATTTTTTTTAAATAAAAATTATTTTTTAATTATTTTGTATACATTTAGTTTTTTGAATAGATTAGTTGAGTTCATCTATATTTGTTTCTTTTTATATTTTATATGAATAGATAATATTTATTTTTTTTAATAATATTTCTAATATATATAACCTTACATAATATTTTTTATTTTATTCAATTAATTTTATACATGTTTATTTATATTATCATTTGATTAATTAAAAATTCAATTTTGATAAACAATATCATTAAATATAATTGATTAAAAATTCAATTTTTTCATTTCCTTCTTTATTTATTTGATTATATATACATATAAATTAAAGTTTTTTAATTTATACTTAATTTTTTTAATAGAAACAAACATTCATATATAATTTTTTTTTAGCAAAAAACAATATGGCACCCACATGGCGCGAATTAAATAGCTTTCTATAACAACTAAAACAACACTTTAAGTCTACAACTTTTATTATTGTACTCGTCACCTTGGCCCCGCAGGCTGTCTCCATAATCGTGTGTCACAGAGCGAGTTGAAAGACAATTGGAGAGAAGGAAAAATTGAATCCAAGGAATTGAGAAAACAAAGTCAGAGAGAGAGGAAGACATTTTATAAGACTCGTGGAAAACATGAATTTTAAGGTTAACAAAGCTGAATAAAAAATGGTTAACAAGACAACAAAAGTGACGGTTAAAGAAAGCAGCAGTGAGTCAAAAGGTACAGTAAAAACAGAGACTGCAACATAAAATTTGGATGTCAGAAGGGCTCGACAAACACATGTTGTTGGAGCTGGTGCGACTGAAGGCAGCTATGATCAGTGAGAGACGCAAAAGCAAGCTCCCAGTCAGCTACATGCCAAGCAAAAACATGTGGCATGGAGTCGAAAGCTAGCTAGTCTGCACCAAACAAGCAATGAATGTAAATGCAAGCTGAACAATCCAGTAGATTTCTCAAAGAAGCAATGAACAAAATAGGAGGAAAAAAAGAGAGGAGATTGCTGTCTTAAAAAAAAAAGTTGATTGAAACAAAAGGCAGAGTCATGGTTTGTCCCCACAAAACCGTATTCAAGTTGTGAAGAGCTAGCAATAATGGCACAATAACGACATCAAAGAGACCCCATTACTCCATTCATCTTGAAGCTCCTATGCGTCACTGAAACCAAACCTACAGCAGCCTTTTGATAATAAAAAACATGCATAGCAATACAGTAAAATGTGTAAAGTCTAATGCATAACAATACAGTAAAATGTGTAAAGTGTAAGGGAGAGCTTGGAAGGTGAAAGATAAACTCAAAAACAAAAATACACAAAAAAAAAAGTATTAATAAGCAATTTGCCTGCCAAATTTGATGAGAATTTTACGATACCAAGAGGGTAGCGACCATCAATTCTAAGATCTAAAGCCTAAAAAATATCTATGAATTACTTCTCATTCACTGTTAATCTCCATTTTAGGAATGAAGAGGTTGCCTACGATAAGCAGAGTCCAACTTTTGCATCATTCATACCATCAATAAGAGCAGAGAAATGTTTAATTTAAGATTAAAATCATACATGCTACCACTTTAAATGATTTTCAATCTTCAATTGAAAAGCAGATAAACTGTGTCACAAAGAGCTCATCACACAACAATCATAAGGAGAAAAACGAAAAAAATGGAAGAAGGAAACATATGGGTAATTTACGAGATGCATTGTTAATGAGGTCAGTACAAATGCTGAGGGTAGACGGTTCCCATGAAAATAAGATTAGAATTATTCTGGTCAGTAAAATTGAGCTAGACCCTAGGCACATGCAGACAGCCAGGGTCCACGTTACTGCAATACATCATAGGCAGATGCAATTGCTAATGAATGCTGAGATTGAGTTTAGATGTGGAACATTGAATTCAAAATCCTTAATCTATCTGCATTCTAGCATATGGACTCTCAATCATTCCATGACTGCTCAAAATTCACCATACAGGTAGTGTTTTTCAACACCAATTCCACCACAGCATGACTTTGATACACTTGAAATGGAAGAAGAAGATAACTCCACCAATTAATGGATGCACATGTCTTCTCAGGAAGACACCAGAGAACAGAGGCCTTCATCTTTTCCTTTGTGCTGGTAAACAAACTCACTTATAAAAGACACCACATAAATGTAGCAGTGGAGTTGCATAAAAGAGCGATGAAATACCACATTACTCAAATCGAGCTTCAATTGAGAAACTGAAGAATAAGGAAGCCAAAAACTGAGGTCAACTTACCCTTGTAGTTGCATTACAGTATCCAAATACAGCTGGAGAGAGAAAAACGATTCACAAAATGGTTACATTTCCATGTCATTTTGAAAGATTTGATTGATCTCCATACAGCTTTAATAGCTGAGGGGCTTCTTCAAAACGATACACGAATTTCTCAAGGAACATCTTCTCAGAACACAAAAACAGAGTAACCAAGTTCGGCTTCCTTTTAATCAACTGTTTCGATAACAAAAACTGAGCAACTGAAGCTCTTGGTATAAATGTTGTCTTCAAGCCTGGCTTCAAAAGATAGGGGTTTTTCACAATAAATGAAGGCTCACAATCCATGTTGTTGACCAAAAAATCCATCACTGCCATAATCTTATCATCTGATGTCATCATGCACCAAGGCTCCTTTATGAAAGCAGCATGAACGTCTTCCTCAGACCAACCCCAACTCTTATAAACACCCAGCCTCCTTTCCCACCCAGATTGGCTCAGTAGACTCATCACCATCACTGCCGTAGTAAACTGTGGCTTAAGAGGATCACATCCCATTTCTCTCACCTTCTCTACAATTCTTCTCAGATAATTCGGAGACATCATGACAGACCTAGGCCAACGGTGAACCAATGAAGCAATATGCTTTTTGGGGACTCCATACTCTTCCAAAATGTCGATACAAGGTTTCAAGAATCTATCGGGTTTATGATATAGAATAGGCGAGTATCTTTTAGCAGCAGCAATTGTCTTGTCATTAGATTGAAGCAAATTGCCAAGGAAGTTAAAATTAAGAGTTATACAGTTTTCCAAGCTTCTAACTAAAATATGAGGATACGTACATAAAATGCGTGCAATGTCATTGTTTGACATGCCTTTAGAGTGGAAAAACTCTAGTTTAGGCAAAAGGGTTTTCTCAGGGTTGCACGAAAGCACTCGTGGGTATTTTTTAACGAGTTTTAAGGTTTGAACCTGAGAGAAACCATAGTGCTTGAAAATGTGAATCACAGAGTCAGGTTTTTCTGTGGTTGTAAAATTGAGATGTTTAGAAGCTGAAAGAGCAGAATCAGGAGAGAACCCAAATTTGCTTATGAGATAAGAGGCTGCAAATGAGTGTTTATTTGGATTTTCAAGGGTTGAGATGAAGAATCTAAGAGTGAGAGTTGAAGGTGAGAGTTGAAATGAAAAGTGCTTGTGGGTGGGTGAAACGGCAGTAGTGTGTCTCCCATACTGGAGAACGGATTTGCTGAGAAAATAGAACATGGGGATTGGATTGAATTGAATTTCACTTCAAGTGATGCAAGAAAGTTACCTCTTTCTTTCCGCCAAGATAATCTACAGGGAGCTTGATCCGCAGGTCGCCGAAGAAACCCTAATGTTTCAATTGGCCAACAAAACACCGAACCAGAAGAGCAAGCCAGCCGCTAGCTAAACCAGTAGTTTTTAGCTTTTAATTGTTTACTATTTTATTTTTTTCAAGAAATGGGGAAATATTGTTTCCAAAGCACTGTGGATTTGTCATTCCGTTTCAGTTTGCGGTATGTTTTTTCAATTGGAACGGATTTTGGCATGCAGTTTTTGACGTGCTGTTTTGGAGTTATATATATATATATATTAAACAAATATAATTTTAATTTTAATTTTAAAATAAATTAATTTAAAATTATACTATTCAAAATTCAAAAATAACTAAAAAAATAAAAATTAAATTAATATGATCCAATTAACTCAACGAATCCAAAAACAATCATAATTGGTAAAAATATAATTCAACTCAAAAAAATTTTAAAAGAATTTTTTTTTTAAAAAAAATATTGAGACAATAATATATTGATAAACTTGAATCAACTTAAATTAACCTTTCAAATTTATAATCCGGGTTATAAGATCACAATAATCTAAAATAAAACAAATCAAAATAAATTATGAAACTCAATTCTTAATAAATTTGAATGATGAAATTGAAAAAAATTCAATCTTTAAAAGGATAAAAAATAACCTTTTTGAAACAAAATTACAAATTTAAAAGAAATTATAAAAATACCATTGATAGTTGCACAAGATCTTTTTAAATTCTGATTGTCTTGTTTAATCTGAGATATACTAATATATGCACAAGATCTTTTTAAATTCTGATTGTCCTGGAATTTTAATCTGAGATATACTAATATGTTAGGAGGCTTCTTATAAAATTCTAACTTGTTCAAAGGTTAGATTAATAATTATAATTGATATCATAAAACTAGACTCTTTCTCTCTCTCTCTCTTTATATATATATCATTTGGCTCGAACAAAACATTTAGAACAAAACCAGAATGTTCCCTCTTTATATATATATCATTTGGCTCGAACGAAACATTTAAAATAAAACTAAAATGTTCTAACTGGAATTTGGGCAAAATATATAAAATGAGTTGAGATTTTGAGTGAGATAAAATTCATTTTAATTTGTGTAATTTTTAAAACTAGAAAGAGATATATCAAATATTCCAAAAAAAAGTTAAATGAAATTGATAACTTTATTATAAATTGAGATTTATGGGTATAGTGAATTTATCATGCCCATAAGTTTCCTTTTTTTACCTTTTTTTTTTTAATCTTGCCTCGTAAGGGTTTGATTAAAAGCAAATTTGGTGAAAATTGTTAACAAATAGCAAAATTAAAAGATAAAAAATTAAAATAAAACACATAAAGGAGATGAGTAGTGTTGTAGAAACTTTTTTGCTAAATGCTCACTGTAATCCTTGTTTTTTTACTAATTATAAGAATTGGATTCCTCAATTCTTTGAAGTTTTTTACAAAATAATTTTGATCCAAAACTTTATTTTTCTATTTTTAGTTCGTGGTTTAAGAAAAGAAAGAGAAATTCATTGAATTTTGACAATAAAGAAAGAAAAATGAAATTGATATCGATTTTGACTACCAAAATAATTAATTTTTGTGTCATATAGTTCTATATGATAAGTAAAATTCCATTTAAGTATTGTTTTATATTGAAAACGCTTAAAAAACAGATTTAAACTAGGAAAAATAATTGGTTTTCTAGTTGATTTTGGGTTTTAGGGTAGTTTTTGGGGGTTTTAAGGCTGTATATTGATTAACAAGGTTTTTATAGAGTTTTTACAGTGTTTTAATTGAAAAGTATATTGAAAATAAATTTTTAAATGAAAAGTAACTTTAACTTTGATTGTTTTATTATGAATGGAATCTAGGAATTGTTAGACGTGCATTGTCTGACTTTTTTTTATTTAAAAAATTAAAATAAATAATATATTATCCGCTCCATTTATCAACAAAAACAAAAATATGGGCTCATATATGTGAGCCAACTTTTTCAGGTGTTGGCTAGGCCTTTTTTTATTTATATTTTTTTTTAAGTTTGTTTTCAAAATAAATTTTTAATTTGGATTTGAATTAGCAACCCTTTTCTCTTTTATTTTTTTATTTAGACTTTTCTAAATAGTAATTATTTTTTAATTATTTTGCATGCGTTTAATTTTTAAATAAACTATTCTAATTCATCTAAATTTTTTTCTTTTTATTTTTTATATGAATAGAGTATTTTTTTATAATATTTATAATATATGTAACCTTACATAATATTTTTTTATTTTATTTAATTAATTTCATATGTGTATATTTATATTATCATTTGATTAATTAAAATTTTAATTTTAGTAAATAAAGTTATTATTAAAAATTTATGTTATGAGGTCAAGTATCTTTATCTATATATGTTTCTTGATTTTTTTATTTTCATCTCGCTAGCAACTACAGTAGATTATGAACACTACAGTAGATTTCTCAAAGAAGCAATGAACAAAGTAAGAGGAAAAAACAGAGAGGAGATTGCTGTCTTAAAAAAAAAGTTGATTGAAACAAAGGGCAGAGTCATGGAACCCCCAACAAAACCATATTCAAGTTGTATTCAAGTTGTGAAGAGCTAGCAGTAACGGCACAATAACAACTCGTCAAAGAGACCCCATTACTCCATTCATCTTGAAGCTCCTAAGCGTCACTGAAACCAAACCTACAGCAGCCTTTTGATGATAAAAAAACTTGCATAAGTGCATAACAATACAGTAAAATGTGTAAAGTCTAGGGGAGAGCTTGGAAGGTGAAAGAAGAACTCAAAAACAAAAATACGAAAAAAAAAATGGTACTAATAAGCAATCTCATTCACTGTTAATCTCCGTTTCAGGAATGAAGAGGTTGCCTACAATAAGCAAAGTCCAACTTTTGAAATGCTGGAAGATTCACATGGATGTCTGCACGGGTTCTTGGTGTCATTAACTACTTTAATATCAAGGGGTTAATTTTATATCTCACCAAATAATACAAAACATAGTGTTTTATTCCTTCAATTTCAACAAGAACATAGAGTGCCTCCGTAGATGTATATGGAAAGACTTCTGAATATGATCTTGAAAAGTTTATAAAAACAATCAAAACATTACAATTTTTAATCAAATCCATCTATTATGGCGAATTAAGAAAATATGATAGGTACTGTACCATCAATTGTGAACATCAGGAAAAGAGGGGTCCTTACTCATTTAGCCAATAGAGAACCTCTCACGTAGCGATGGCTATACACCTCCATATCGAGGGTTTTTATATTCATGAAACGAGCTTCCCTCCAAGATCTTTCTCTGTACAAACTTTCAAAGAAAGTTCTTGATGATAGGTGGTGATGACAATGACTTTATACTAAATGTTCCTTAGACTTGTTTTTGGTATGCTTGGAGTATATATCCCACTTGGACAACGCTTTTTATAATGGCGAGAGTGACTTTTTATAATCGTCCTCTCCCGGCTCAGGCTCAACAAAATACGCAGGAGTTTCAACAGCCAAATCAATTCAGTCCACCATCCAAGCACATATGCAAGAAAATCCAATTCCCTCACTGGCTGCTTTGGAGGAAAAGCACACCAGACTGGGACACCCATCAAAAACTGGGAAGAGAACTGCATCATGGTGACAAGAAGATGTGCTCGAGCCTTCAAAACTTGATGTAAAGTAGGATCTTTCCCGTTACTGCAGATATTACGGTGCTGTTGTGCCAAATGTAGTTGTCCTTAAAACAGAAAACTAGTCTAACCAAATACGCAGGGTGTTATTCAAAAGGCAAACCAGTTCTATTCATCATCCAAGGGCTCGAGCAAGAATTTCACCTCATTAGTCTTTTTCCAACTTTCTAGCACCCATGACAAACAAATCTGAAGTAGCTTTGCTGCCAACCATACTATCAATAACAGAAATTGAACAGCCAAGGCCCCGGTAAAATAACAGAAATCGAACAGCCATAGCTTATTGAACAAACAAAAGGATCAAAATAGCATAAAGAATGATAGCTGTGTAATGTACCAGTTAAGAATACGATGATCCATGGATAGTTTTACAATCCAAGTGTAAAATTTCTTTATTTTCCTATCTCTCTCCAATTATACGACAGTAATCATGTTTTTAAAAATAAGATTCAGCTTCAAATTCTTCCATCACAAAATTGTTTAGCCATCAAAATCATTATCAAATCTTTTGGTTCATGTTCACAATACCGTGGTTGTAGAAGCTGGAAGTTAAAATGAGTAGTGCATAATCTATGCCTTCATCCTTGAGGACTCCCCCACAGCATTCTCCATTCTTGTGTACCAATCCCCTATTCGAGTTTGCTCCACCATATCTCTACCAGACCTCAAATAGCGGATGGGTCTCAATACCCCAAAGACAGCAAGGTCAGCTAAGTTAGGCTTTGACCCCCCTGTGGCATATAAGAAAAAACATAAGTATATCTGTCACATACAACTTTGAAAGGTTGTGCAAAGGTTAAAATCAGAATCTTAGCTTTAAACAGTTGTGAAAGTTATCTTAGCTTTCTATGAGATAAAGCAGATCAATTGCGCAGGATGGAGGCCTGGCCTTGGAAACCATCTGTTCTCCCATTACTTTTGGTTTGGTTTTTTAATTGGAGTTTACAATATAAAATGATATGGCAGCGTGCACATGTATATACATATAGTATGCAAGTCACGTGCATTAATATGATATTATGTCAGCTGCATACCAAGAAACTCTTGGCCATTTAGAGCATCCATCCACGTTTCCACAGCTTCATACAGGGCAGCACGTTCATCAGTAATGTTATATTTCTTCTTCAAATTCTTTGACACAAAATACATTGCAGCAGCTCCGGCATACTTGACTGTGATTCTTTCTGTAAAGCTAAAATTACCTGCATTTACAGGAGAAGTTTACAATGAAATCAAGATAAATGGACAAAATATATGCCATCTCACAGATAATTTTGAACAGAACCAAAGTGAACCTTAAAAGCATAATTCCATGAACAACATTAACTTGGAATAACTTACCTAGAACCTATATGAGGATGAGTACAGGATGATGAAGTAATCATAAATGAAATGATAACTGTCACTAGCAATCAAATGAAAGGAATGACTAAAGGAAGTTATTGAGTAGTTGTGATCCCCGGATGAAACAATTCAATACAATTATTAATTTTCTGATCTTCAAAGGTTCCTCAAAATAACAAACTCACA